CACGGACGAGCTTACAAATCGAAAATTAGATTCCGGCCACGCCACGAGGGAAGCGAGAAAAAATTCATTTATACGCGGCCCCCGATAAATGACGGGCCGAAGAAAGGCCGACTACCTGTCGAACCTCGGTAATTCGAGGCTGGAGAGACAGAGAGAGGGGGGAGGCTTGGGTCGAGAACACGAGAAAAATGCCGTCGTTCGTGAAGCGGGAATTTTTCAGCTGCGACAACGACGAGCGTAAATCATACCGGTTGTCCGGTGTTTTGCATTCCACGCGCGTCTTTCGCGTGTTACGAGAGCATCTGCTTCGTGAAAGTTGCCCGAGAATAACCTCTTCCAGTGTTAATTTTTAATCGAAAAGTATCGAAATTCTATTCTACAGAAGAAGAATCGATCGAACGACGTATTCGTCGAGTCGAAAACTCGTAAGTCTCGGTTCTTTGATCGAATTGGAATATGGAAAAAAAGCGGAAGGAGAGATACATATATTATGAACGAGATACATATATATATATATATACATATAAAAGGTGGAAAACGTTGGGGAGGTAAGAACCGGGGGCCAACTCCGGTCGGCACGAATTTATTAACCGGCGTAGTCCTTTCGATGGGTTAAGGTGAAAATACAACCGGAGACTCCCGGGGGGGAGAGACGAGTCCATCCGGTGGTTTTCTTATCGACTCGTTTGAATAAATACGATCCCCCTCCTGCGCGTGGCCGACCTGCTCCGCTCGAAAAGTACGGCGCATTGTTGCGAATATACCGTCATTTTTACGATTTCTAAAATCCTTCGGTAAAACGAGACGCTTTGTCCTCCGCTTCCTTTCCAGGGAATGTAAATTGCAACCTGGTCGAGGTTTAAATGCCTCGCACACACGTCGAGGTTTCAAACAACGGCGGTTTCTTTTTTTTTTTTTTAAATATTTCGAAAATTTACTTTTCAAGGATCCTTGGAAAGGGAAATCCTTTGGAAAAATTAATCCGAGCGAGGAGAAATAAAATAAGCGAAAAGAGATAGAAGTAGTAATCGATAAAAAAAAGAGAATGGAAGAGAGAGGAAGGGGAGTGGAAGGAATGGAAGAGCGAATCGATCGATGGGGTATCGCGATGCATTTACGAACGCTCCGAGCGAATGGCAAAACCGTCTAACGAGATTAAAACGATCGTGAAATATCGAGATACCCCGCGTTGCTTCGATCTTTGCCGCGGTTAATGGCCAACCTGAAGATCGAACGATCGGCCAATCGGCGAACATCTTGCCATTTATCGCCGGCCATTTTGCCCTCACTTTTGCCCCCCCCTCGAGAAGAAGAAACTTCAACTCGCGCTTTAACGCCCGGATCGCGTTAGAAACGAAGAAGATTCTTCAAAAATTTCCATCTCCTCTGTTTTATCTTCATACGAACGAGAAAGCGATAATCGAGACAGATTGGAATTCGAGAGGAATGGATGGTCGAACGGATTTCTTACGGTTGACGCGAAATCGACAGGCGTACGAAGGGTCGAACAGAGAAACACGCCCCTTTTTCCACGCTTGATTCGTTCTGACAGAAGGGAACTCGAGATGAGGGACGTTCTCGAAAAATCGAAACGATTTTCTCTCTCTCTCTCTCTCTCTCTCTCTCGTCCTTCCTCCTCCTCCTCCTCTATTCGAAGCAACCCGACTCGTAAACGACGATGTTCGCGCGGCACACGAGAGAGTCGACGCACGGAATCATCCGATAGGCGACGAGAGTGATCGATAACTGTGTTCTGGGATACGTTATCGGTCGTAGCGTGCACGTTGTTGCGCTCGTAGTTTGAAAAAGTGACACCGATAGGCCAAGGGCTGTGTCCCTCTCGGGATCATCGATCTCGCCTTCTTCGCGATGCCGAGGTTAATTCGAACTTACACGCTCTCGCACAGTGTCCTCCTCTTTTTCTCCTCTCGTTCTCGGCTCTCCCCTCGATTTCACGCACAGTTCGCAGGTTAGAAGATAGAGCAGAATAGAATTTTAAGCGTCCAACGAAACTTGAATTCAATCTTTTCGGTTCAATTAATTTATACTGGTGTGCGTATTTCCAATTGATGAAGAATTACTCGAAGTAACTTTATTTTTAATTAATTACTTTTTAAATTAATACCCAACTCTACTCTGTTCCCGCCGCTGAAATACTTTATCGATTTCTTTATCGATAGATTCAACAACTAGTTTGACTCGTGATCGTTTTTTTCCTTTTTTTTTTTTTTTACGACTAGTACCGTGAGATTCGTTAACACTTGAAAGTTATCAAGAATTCGATCGAGATACGAGCATTAGAAACAATTTTCAAACGCAAAGGTGGGGCATGATTCTACGAGGGTTGCTCGATCGAATAGGGTGAGCAGCTCCTCGAACAAACTGTTTTCCATAAGTTGGAGCGCGTAAAAAATGTCACGTTTCGTGACACGCGCACGAATGCGTCGCTCTTATATCGTTTACTTCTCTTTCTCGATGCCTTCGTTCGTACCCTTTTTTTTTTTTTTTTTTTCTTCTCTTTCTTCCCTCTCGAACGGATCCTTTGTCCGCGAGCATCGAATACGACGCGACGAATAGAATAACGTGCACAATGGGGATTGGGTATTGTAAAAATTGCTGAATCGATTTTTAGCAACGGTTACGTTACGTTTTCGCTTTGTTTTCGAACGCGACGAGACGAAAACGTGAGAAACGCTTTCCAAAAGGTTTTTTCCACGAGGTTGAGTAATCCGCGATTCGCAGCATACGCGAAGAAATCGAAAGATCAAACGTTGTATAAAAAAACATGTGTTTGTTAATCGTTCAAGTGGAATATCGTAGCAAGAAACGAGTCGTTTTTAATGAAAAAAGAAAACGATAACATCGTCGATTAGCGCAAACGAACCACGGATAAAACGAATAGGATTTCCTTCCCTAAAGTAAATCACGTTCATTAAAGGTCAGTTGCTGTAAAATTGACTCGTTCCGCGGAAAACGCTCTCGATTAAAGCTTCGAATCTCTAATCTGAGAAATCGTTTGACCGAAGAATTAAGATATCGGATGGGATCGTCATAGCCTTCGTATTATATTCGACGACCGGTTGAAAGCGAGAGATCCCGAGAATCGCGGCCTGGAAACTGGTTAAATCGCGGCCGTCTTCTTTCTTCCCTGTCGAGAAGTGGTTCGTGGAAAATCGTCGCGAAACATGAAAAGAAACGTTCCAAAGAGGCAAGCGTGTACACGTTGACAACCGCCATTCGTGGCGCTACCCACTCTCTCTCTCTCTCTTTCTCGTGAATTTCTTAATTATTTTATCACATTATATATTCGAACCTCTCGCGTTGGATACGCGTTGAACTCGAATCCCAAACGCTATCGGTGTTAATTGGCCTCGCTTGGCGACATCTACCGTTTCACTGGTGCAAAGAAATCTCTCTGATTGGTTAATTCGAAAGGGAACGCCTATTTTTCTTTCCGTATCTAAACCTCGATGCACAGAATTCAGAGTATTCTGTATAAAAATGTTTTTATTCCTATAATTGTTGATAATAATTTATGAATATGATATTTACATTATACAAATATACGTATAATATAATTACATTCTCTTGTTACCTTGATTATTGGTAACCTTCTTAAATGTAAATATGAGTGCAAAGGGTTAATATCGTATCGAAATAATTAAATAGCTTCGAAAATATTTCAGTTTCCAGTCTTGAATGATTATGACATTCAATATCTTTTCTACTACTATCGACACGATATGCGTCCGAAATAAATGATCCTAGCAAAGGACTCCATCTATCACTGCTGAAAAGAAGTCTCGCGAATCTTGGTTGATTCGGAAGGAAACGTTAATTTTTCTTTCTACCATGTATATGTATTTGTCTATTGCTGTGTACTAATCCAAAATTATATTTAAATCTATGAAATGCATTAGCGTGGAAACCAGCGTAAGAATTCGTATCGATGTAATATGCAAAATTTCTTCATTTCTCGTAATATTCGTAAATTAATTAAGAGATAATAATTGTACGAATAAACCAGATACATACTATAAATTTCGAAAATATTTCAGTCTCGGACGATTATCCTAATAATCCCATAAATAAAAATAACTTTTACGATTTTGAGCATTCGAATCGTCTCGTGCCGTTACGCAGCGCGCCAGATGAACACCTCGACAAAGAGATAAGACAACTCTCGACCTCTTCTTTCGACCAAGAACCGCTTTCGGTTTCTGGATTACGATAATTTCGCGTCTCGTTACCGGGCGAGATCCAGCCGAGATGAACGGTGTTGATCCGTCGCAGAAATAATGGGGATGCTCGCGTATATAAAAGTTGGTCGGGGATCCCGCTGAGCGGAAACCGGACGCGGTGGACCAATTATGCAGTTTCTCCTCGCTCGGATAATTTTACATTGCGAAACCGTGCGAAGAAACAGCGCGCAATTTTTCCTTTTTCTTTTTTTTTTTTGCTCGAGTGACATTCCCTCGACGAGAACGAAACGAGAGGAATAATTTAGCTGGATCGATCCGGGATATCGATGGCTTCCGGTCAAATAAACGGTTCGTTCGTGGAGAGAAAAAAAAAGAAGGAGAGGAAGGATTTTTACGAGTTACGTTTCGGTCGATAAGAATGGAGGAAAAAGAGGAGGAGAAAGGTTCGAGGAAGGCGAGGGATAATGGCGGCTGGTACAGCGATTACAGGTAAAAAGATCGAGTTAGAAGCGGAATCGGATACGAAATATCGCCGGTTCGAAAGCTTTTGCCTTTGGTGGAATAGAGTCATAATGACGACGATCATCGATGAGACGTCTCGGTAAAACGGTCCCCTCCTCTCTCCGGCAAAGTACTCGAATCCTTTTTACACCGTCGTTTTCTTTTGCGGCGACAGGGGCAAAAGAAAACGACGGTGGATCTTTTACGGTTCGATGGTGCGAGAGGGAATCGTGTTCTCGACGGTATTTACGACGCTCGTCTTCTAATCGCCTGCCTTTTCGCTCTTTTCTTTTGCAGAAGCTCCAGGAGAACTTGGATGGGTGCTTACTCTGGTGATAGTGTCCTTAGTGTCGGCGGGTATCGGCGCTGTGGTCATGGTGACGCTTCTCCATTGTCGAAGGTCGGTACGACAACGTTTCTCCCTATTCTACATCTCTCTTCCAACAAAATTTCAATCCCCATTTTATTCCAACGTGGCGCGTAATATGCCGCCTATTTCTCACAAAGTTCCAATTATCGCGATTCTCAATTTTACGATCACGAGCGGTGTTACGATATCGATACGAAGAGAGAGAGAGAGAGAGAGAGATTCATCCGGTGGAATTTCGAATCGAAATACGAGAACGGTAAAACACCTGCGCGCGCCCCGTTTCCGTGAGATTGATTTCGAAATCCATGCAAAGAGGAGGAGACGATGGAGGCTCGATACGGATCGGCGATCAGCCAGATCCGCGAAACGATCGCGGTTTAGCTCGGATCGATTCCCGTTAAATTACCACCTACCACCGCAGCGCATCGAAATGGCGAGATAATAAGGGGAGGGGGAGAGGGGTGAACCGGTTGCTAACTAGATCGGTCGATTTGAATCCGAACGCGAAAAAAGTCGGGGAGGAAATCGAGAGGAGGGAAGAGAGGGAAAAGAAGGGTGTTGTGTTGCGAAACCTGGGGACAACTCGTCGTGGCAACCGTTCGAATACTTTCGTTCCTCCAAAGACATCGAGCCGTGTTTCTCAACGAACCGTTTCCCGGACGAAAGACCAGAGTCGTAGAGGCGTTAAGCTGAAAAAGTTGAAAATCTAAGTTAAGAATCTCGAATAAAGTTACTTCGAGTTGATTACTTGATTAAAATGCTTATTCGTGGCTGTTACGTGTAGATTGATCCGTTTTTCGTACAATCTTGGATTATACGTTTTGGACGATAAATTATCAGATTTATGGAAGTAACTTTATTCGTAATTCGATTATTCAATTTTGCCCATCATTTTGACAAAGGGGATTTCATATTTTTTTCAGTTGATGTTAATATTTCGAAAATTGATCCAATCAGATGGATCGTTTTTAACGGAAAATTTTCTTTTTCTGTGTTGCAGATTGAAAAGCGCCGGTGGCAGAGGTAAGTTTCCATATATATGTACGTACAATTTTAATTTCAATACGAATAAGGAAATTGAGTCGATTTTTGATCGGCGATAACATCCTAACAATCACGTTCCAAGTATAGAAAATTAATATAATAGACGTAATACCCCTAATACCCCCTAATGTAATTATAGCTTACAGTTATGGATCGATCCGAGGCACCATATTCGCAATTATTCCCTAAGCAGAGGATATCAATTCAAAGTTCCACCCGTCCTTTTCTCCTCTTCCTCCTCCTCCTCCCTTCCCTTGTGTGTTAAAATATGATATCCTCCTTCTAATAATTCCTTTTCGTGCCTCCTTTGTCGAACGCTCTTTGAAACCTTATCTGTATTCCGAAAACCTTGCCACGTGTAGCGCGATCGACAAAAGGGATCGGAGAGAAAAGGGAATAAAGCTATTATAAAGAAAATTATAACGAGGAAAAAAAATGAATACACGTGAAAATATATATGTATATATATATAGAATTCTATTAACGTAAGAAAAAAGGAAAACAGATTGCACGACAAAATAAATCGTCTATTTATCAAAAAAAAAAAGAAGTAGAAAAAAAGCTCGATTCCCAGACTGACTAGATCCGGATTGACACCGAGACGCATGGCGTCGATCGGTGCAAACGAGAAGCATAGAGGTAGCGGTAGAGCCTCGAGTGTCAGAGCCGATTGGAGTTTAATTAGTTGGCATAATGAAGGTCGGCTCACAGCGGTATATTCCGAAGCGAGACAGAGAGAGAGAGAGAAAGAAGTAGCTACCACATTCTCTCTCTCTCTCTCTCTCACACACACACACACACACACACGTTAAAGGATATAGGACGCGACGGACGAACGACATAAAGGACAGTGAAGCGCGTCTAATTAACTTTCTGATTTAAAATCACCCGCGGCACGATACGATCAACGAGCGAGCCGGCTGCTAGGAGCTCACCGAGCCGAGCCGTGGAACCCTGCCAACGGAGAGGGAGGCTGAAACCGGGGCAAATAGAAGGGGAGGGAGGGGAGAGCTACCACCGATCTCTCCGAGGGGATACAACGAGGGTCACCCGAATTAATTATCCGACACTCGTTTCACCGAACCTCCTTCGAACTCCTTCGTCGTTCCTTCTCTCCGCCATTTGCTTCTTAAGCGGCCTTCACACCGTGGCGTCAAATATCGATCGAGCCTTTTCCCCCCTTCCTCCCCCCCCCCACTCCCCCTTCCTTTCTCTCGAATAATTCGATTATCCGAGCCGTTGATATCGCGTCGTTCATAATCAACGCTTATACGAGTTAATTTGATCGAGAATAATTAAAATAGAAAGTACGAAGTATATATATATATATATATGTATATACACGTACATATGTACATATACGTATATAAAGAATTCCATAAGGGGAGATGTGTTTGAAATTTTAAAAAAATTTTCGCCGCAGTCTCGTAAATTTTGCTATTAAGGAGGCAGTAAATTACGGGAGGCATATGGCATACGTGTTTTCCCTCGTACTACTACCTACCGAGAGATTCTATTTTTGTCCTTTCCATCCGTTTCTATTAATTACGTTAAAACCGCAACGATCGTCGCCAGTCACGAGCTGTCCTGCGTGTAAACGTGCCAACGATGAAATTATAGGTGTACTCGAATATGGATGTAATTGGAATTTCTAGCGGCGCGCGACTGCGTTGCGCGGCGACCAATTTCACAGAGGAGGCGGGGAGGGGGAGGGAGAAAAAAGGAAAAGGGGGAAGAAAAACGAATTAACGGAAAACATCGTTGAAGCGTAGAGCCGTACGTAAGAATCGGCGCGAATCGACAAGGGGACGAGGGAGACGTTAATGGACGGAGCTGAAAGTGGCTGTTAATCGGCTCTTCGTATCCGTCTTTTCAAATCGAGAAAAAAGAAAAAAATAAATAAACCGATTAGAGGGGTCGCGTGCTCAAAGAAAAATCTCGCATCGATGAAAATTTTGTTTGACGCGTGAAGGGAAAGAACATCAAACGGAAATCGTATCTCACGGTGTATCTCACGGCCACGGTGATATAACGAGCACGCACGCGAGAAAACGCTACATACTACAAGCTCTCCTCCTCCCCTTTCCCCGCTTTGACGACACGCCCCTCCCCGGTTAATGCATCAAGTGTCGACCAATTAATATTCCAACCGTCCAATCCGATAAATCACGCGGGTTAACGCGTCCGGAAGAAGATCGAGGTTGGAAGCGACAGCCTGGAAGAGAGAGACCTGGATCCGGTTACCTCACCAACGCCAAGTGGATGCGTAACCGATGGAATCGAGCGCGGATATACGGATAGTTTGGTTTAGCTAGGTTTCGTGGATAAAGATGAAGGAGAAATCTTTGCGACGTCTTTGAATCTTTGAATTATGAATCGGGAGGGGCACCGATCTATGCACACCATGTTACGCGAGAACCGATAAATCGACACCATCTTATTTACGATATATCGATATAAACGGCTTAACGCTTGCCGCTCAATGTTAAATTGCAGCCGAACGAAGTCGTGTTCCACGATAAATAACGCGATTACCAACCGACGACTCGTCCCGTAATCGATTGCGTTCGGAATTCCATTCTAGCTTCATTCGGGCGCAAATGAAGTCGCGCTTATCCTCCTCTTTCGCATGATGGAGTATCTCGTAAGAGTGGCTCGTAATGAATGGAAGATTGATTAGGGGGAAGAGCGATCGGCAATTGAAATCCTTCCTTCGCTTGCGAACGAGCGACGAATAATTTTTGATCCAAGACAAATCTTTCTTTTTCTTCTTCTTCTTCTTCTTCTTCTTTTTATTCTTTTCTCGCTCCTTTTTCGATCGATGATAACGTTATAATTCTCGATCGAACAGAAAGTGCGCGAAAAAATTCGCGTCTTCCATTACCTCGAGTAATCTCGTGAACAGATGCTAATTATGTAAATTACGGTGTAACGGCTCGTTATAAATATCCACGGACGGTAAGTTGGAAGAAAAAGGAAAAGTTAAAGTTCCGCCCGTACGCGGCTCTGTACGTCACTCTGCTCTTCATTCCGTGAGCGATTATCCTCGCTGTAGCTGTACCTTCTCGGAAGAAAATAACGTCTAGACGAGGCACGGGAGAGGAAGATTATACTCGTTACACGCGTGCACGCCGTTGGTGTAAGGGCACGAAGAACCAGTCTTCTTCTCTATCTCCTCTGGCTCCAAGTGACAGGACGTTCCACGACGTGTTCCGTTCGAGACGACGAAAACCTCCGGACAACGATTCATCGCGAACTACAGGACAGGATATTTCCCATAATCTCGTTTTTCTCCCATGCCCGTTTACACACGAGCATGAGCCGGTACCTCTGATCTATCAATTCCGAATTCCTTTCTTTCTCTTTCCCTCCTCTTCCCACCCATTCCTCTTCGTCTCTCTTTCTCCCGCCATGCTTCTCAATCCATCCCAAACCTCGCTTCTATAAGCGCCATGACAGCACGATGACGTGCGCACAATGAGGCCATACAGAAAACAGCCGCTTTTTTCCTTTCCCCCTCCTTCTCTCTCTTTCTCTTTCTAAGTCTCGTGTCATAATGCGGTGATTCGGGTCCTTGTATACAGGAGGTAATATATATCTATGCACGTGAGCCTATATATACGCGAGTAACGTAACAGGATTCTGTCCAAGCTCACCTGGCTCACTTGACGAGCTTCGTTTTCGATTCGACCCCACTCCACGAATGAAACTCGAGCGCACAATTCTCGTTCAACGGATTTTCCAAGTCTCGCGTGGGATAATATATATATATATATATTTCATTATTTGCAGCGAATTGTTGCAACGTCGGCGTGGACGATACGAACGCTCAAGAAGCCGGTGGCCCGGGTAACGGAGGAGGAGCTGGAGGTGGAGTGGCGGTTATACCCGATCGGCCGCCTCTCGAACTCGACAAGCTGCCACCTTATCACGATGTCGCTCCCAGTCCTGGTACGTATCTCCTTAAATACATCCGTTACAAGGTAAAATAGAGATCGATAGTTATCGACTGGATTACCTACTGCTCACTATTGGAAAGAAGTCTTCGCTAGGACCACCTATCTTCACTTTTTCGACAAACCTGACACCACGCATAGTGAGATAGAAGAGCTACAATTCGAATGTTATAATCGTCCAAGACTGAAAGTTGAAATATTTTCAAAACTATCAATTATTTCGATATAATATCAACATATCGAATACGAAATTACGCTTATAAATTAAACTATCGTAATTACAAATCGTAATTAGATTAGAATAAAATAGAATATTCTGAATTGCACGTTAATGCAGCGAGGTTAGAATACGGATCATTGATTTTGGATGAGTGCGCGTGAAAACAGGCGAGGAGAGACGAACTTCTTTCCCTACTAGTTTTAAAGTTTAAAAACGCGATGGTGGATAATTGGCACGAAGGAAATGAGGAGTCGCGCGACTTTTATGGATGTGGTGTGATGTGATTCAAGGGCACAATGTATGGTCGTGGTTAGGCTCGCGACGCGGCGGCGGTACACCGGGAGTCGTGACGACGCCTCTGTCGCTTCCGCAACACAGACGAGCGATGAATCTCCCCGTGGAGAACCACTACACCCACATGCAAACCGACGAGGCCCTATACGCAGAACTGGACTCTCAGGCCGCGAGCTACGCGAGCGATCTTCAGCTGCAAATGAGAGGAAGCTCGACGTACGGTACGACTTCCGGCGGCCAGGACGACGAGTACCACGAGCTCGACGCCGCGAGGTTACATCGTCATTACGGCGGTAGCAACGGGGACGGATCTCTGCAGAGGGACACGCTTCGTACGCGTCACAGTAAAAGGTAATAATTAATTTCACCTTTACGCCATCTTCTTCCTTTTCTATTCGTACGCGCTTTATATTAATAATTTCGATACGTCCCCTTCCATTCTTCTTCCAAATTATTAACTAGTTACTCTACCCGCGCAAACCTGTTTTCCTCCAATCTCGCCAATTTCACGCGGCTCTCGAAGAATACAAGCGTTCATCGATCGTGGAACGTGGACGAAGGGAAACCTCTAGAATTTACCGTGCATTTAATTATAAACGTTAAATATAAATAATACCTTTAAAAGGCGAAGCGTTTTATCGGGAATAAATTAATTACGTATTCGTTGGAAACCGTACACAAGCTTGATTTCTTCTTTCTTCTTTCGTCGTTCCTTGAAAACGCCGCTTGAACATTACCGATCGTACCGTCGAGGACGAAAATACTCGTGTAATCGGTCCAGTTTCTCGAAATGGAGCGTAGCATCCTCAGTAAAGTATATCCATCTTTTTTCCTGTTGCAACAAAGGTTACAAGAACCGGATTACGAGATGTACGAGAACGGGCCGTCGACGCCGGTCCCGCCTGGTCAGATGCAGCACCACCACCACCACCACCATCACCACCACCATCACAATCACCATCATCATCATCCTCAGGATGTACGGGTGGGCAGCAGGAACGGGGACCACCCCTCGTACCAAAACACCGCGTACACAGGAAGCGACGCGGAACCGGATGGGCCGACGTTGAGCAGCGCGCCGAGCAGCGCCTACTACAGCGACCTGAGCTCGAATTCGGCGAATCAACAGATGCCACCGGCGGCCGCCCCCTCCGGAACCGGCACGAATCTCCACCTGAGCCAGCAGCAAGGGGGCCTGGAAACGCCTCAGTATCGGTTGGCGGCGATAAACGAGACCTCGGTACCCTCCGACTATATTTAGAATCAAATTTTTCTCCTCACCGCGAGAAAATAATTAGAGGCGTTTATCTTTCTTTTCCTTCGAGAAGTCGAGAAAAAGAAGGAGAAGAAAAAGACTGAACGCGTTGCTTCCCAACACGACAATCCCAACGACTCGGGACATTACAAGAGCTATTATAGGAGATATTAGATCGCGAGAGGTTAGGTTTGGTGGGGAACGTGGAAAGGGTGCCATAAGAAAAACACTTTCGATGTCTTTGAAATTGGTTGGCGGACGCGACGAAATGAAGAAGAAAACAAGGAGGAGAGAGAGAGAGAGAGAGAGAGAGTAGGAAATCGATTGGAACGTTTCTGATAAAAAGAAGAAGGAAGGAAATTTTTATACGAATAATGAAGTTGGAGATTTTTAAAAATGTATTTCGTATAGGGTGTGGATATACGTGTGAATATTTAACGAGATAAATAACGGTCACCGAATCCTTTAAATACAAGGTATCCTTGCGTCAGGTTCGATCCTCGTTTATCTTCGATCCTCGTCCGACGGTGGAATTAATTCGTTTCACCCGATTCGGCAGGACTCGTTTAATCGACGCCGTCGTGTCCTCTTAATTACCTTCCCCTCGGACAGCCTCGATTGTTTCTCGGACAGAACACGAACGAAGGTGGAGAGACGTTCCCTGCGTTTTACGTCTTTCGTTTGTATCTCACCCACCTTGTCGCAATCCTTGCCGCGTACACCTTCCTACCTTCTTTAAGTCCCACGTAATAAAATCTCCGATTTCGATTTGCCACGAAACTTTAAACTCAAATTCATAATTCGTCGATAATAATAAGCTAGAAAGAGGAGGAGGAAAAATTTGATCCATTCTATAGACTCTCAAAAAATTCGAAAGAATTGTAGAAAAAGATCCAGTGTAACTTCGAACTTGAATAACTTTGATCCACTGTGGACTCTCAAAAAAATTCGAAAGAATTATAACTGTTATTACAAATTTTCGAACTTTCCTTGAATAACTTTGATCCACTATGGACTCTCAAAAAATTCGAAAGAATTATAACTGTTATTACAAATTTTCGAACTTTCCCCGAATAACTTTGATCCACTATGGACTCTCAAAAAAATTCTAATCCATTGTAACTGTTATTACAAATTTTCGAACTTTCCTTGAATAACTTTGATCCACTATGGACTCTCAAAAAATTCGAAAGAATTATAACTGTTATTCAGTGTAACTTCGAACTTTCCCTGGATAACTTTGACACTCCACTGTGGACTCTCAAAAAATTCGAAAGAATTCTAGAAAAAGAGTCGTAACCGTTATTAAATTTTCAAATATTACCAACTACTCTCCCTACAACTCTCCTTATTATTTAAAACACGTATCGTAAATAGATATCGAATCGAGTAATGAAATTTTGTGGTTCGACTTAAACTCTGGTTTAATCCCGGATAAATCGACCCGATAAATTACGCGTGCCCGTAAATTAGCGGGGCCAGTTGGGCGCGACAAAGAATGGCAACGCTTCGTTGAACGGCCGAAAAATCGTTGGCGGCTCTCCTCTTTAACGCACACACGCGCGCGCAGCAGGGGAACGCGGATCCGCGCAACAACAGATGCAACGATGCAACTTGCAATAATTAATTGCGCCCCCGCGGTCACAATGGCGATATGGGAGGGGGGGCGAGAGGGGCAGGGTGGCTGGCGCGCATTATTCCGCCAGGGAAAAAAATCCCACGAACGAGGCGCGCTGTCCGATCGCCGGTTTCTTATCGTTCGGCCGTGTTACGCGAACGAGAAACGGATATTATGGAATTCGTTTGGTGCCCACGCTTAATTAAGGCGCCGCTTTCTTCCCCGGCAAAAGGATCTTCCGCATTTCGCGTTTTCGCATTCGCCAGGAAATTTATATTCTCGTTACACGCCTCCACTGTTGTACCACTTTCGTTTTAATTGTTTGAAATTGCCTGGATGAGTACGTTTTTTCTTTTTACTTTAGTCGAAAGCGTCTAAAGTGTGTTTGCACGTAGCATTCTTCAAAATAGTAACTTTTAAACGTCAATGAAACGCAAGAGAAAGAGAAAAGAATGATAAGAAAATGCAAAGTTTCCACTCGGCGAAATCGAAACTGTTCGAGGAAACAGTTTATCATTTCGTGATGATAAAAAGAGAAAAAAGTTGGGCCGAAATTTCTGGATCGAACTTGGCCGGTGGAGCGACGAGAAAAAGGTGGCGGAGCGCGCACCATCTTCGAGCCCTGCTACGGGATATGTAAATTATACATGTAAATATAGCGAGGCAACCGAGCCGAGAAAGATCGAGCGGTGAGATATTGAGATACGTGTTGGCTACCCGCACACTCTCGCCTCTTCCTTTCGTCGATTTTATGCGATCGAACGCTCCTGGTTAAAAGTCATCGGATATTTGTTGACTTTAAAGCGCGATAAATTTCTCCATCTATATATATAACAGCCGTCCCTTCACTTTTCCCACAGGATTAATGGTTTAAATTTGTAAATTTGTTTCTATCTTAATTGTAAATCGTATTTAATTGCGTATTTTCGTATTTATATCGTATTAAAATTATAAGATTTCCACACAAATAAGCGTGAACGTTGCAATCCTGACGTTCATTCGTATGGTGTCCGGTGACTTATGGACGGGAGTCGTACGTGTCTATGCCCGAATACCTTTGTCGTCGCCACCGAAAAATGTCCTTGTCCCCGCGTGCGCGCATACCGGCTAATTCCTATGCATTTTTCGCATTACGTGGTGAAATCGCGGCAGCGTTCCTCGCTGCCCGAGCAGAGTTCCCACAATGGAAAAATGTTAAGTGGAATGAAACCCTTCTGCCCGGTTAAATTGTTCATCGAATGGTTTCGTCGTCGTATCGCGTGTCGTTTCGTTTGAAAATTTATCCGATGTGGATACCGCGAGGAATTTCGAGACGATGGATTTCACTCTTCTTTCTTTAGTCGCGAGACAGATTAATGGAATTGGCCGATCAAGAATTTGTACAAACTTGGACAAATTCGTACCTTTTAACATTTTGACGCTTTGTACTGATGCTTGAGAGACTCGGGAAGAAAGTTGTAAGTAAAACAAATGTCTCTGATTTGAAAGAATCTGATTTTAAAAATATGGATAAATTGAAAAAGTATTAAAACAGGAGATAGAGAGATAATATTAAAAAATTGCATAAATGAAACTTGTTTGTCGTGTTTATCTTGGAAGAAGAATCTCGCATCACTTTCCTATCGAGCCTCTCATTCATAGATGTGAAAGTTATCGATATAATTTATGCGATGTCCCATACGAATACAGAGCGGCGCAAAAATCGTGATCAAACTCGTAAAGATTTGTTTCCGATCGATTAAAATCAATTGCGTCGTTACGAAACGACAGAAAATACAACAGGAAATACACGTGAGATAATTTAACGTAGAAGAGTTGAGAGAATGGAAAGAGCGTGATGGTAATCAACATCCCAATGATATATTAAGATTTTATTGCATCAACGTTCCTGACAGAAACGCACGATTTCTATTTTTGTGATGTGATGTTTCTTGCCACTAATTTTGTAACTATACGAAGATTAATGTAATATAAATCTAGCCGATTCTAGAAAGATGTAATGTATAAAAATTCACTTGATGCGTGAAATTGTAAAGAGAAAAGAGAGTTTGCTTATATTGTGTAATTAATGTTAATTAATAGATATGAAACGGTGCTAAGAAATGAATTGTCATACCTGTAATTGGATATTTTGTAATTTATATATTGTTGTTCTTTAACAAAATATTTAGAAAAGACGTTGAAATCGACGTTCGTTGTTATTTACGCGTGCAAAAATATTGATGAACGTAAATAAGAAAAAAAAAAGATTTCCACTATTTTTTGACAATTCTACAATGCAACAAAGTATTAAGTTTAGAACAACTACGAAACACAAGTTGTATATAACATTGTAAATTGTAAAGAAATTATTTTATTTTCATATGTATAATCGTGAAACGCTTGTGTACACGAATGGATATTCTGTGCGCAATTAAGTCAATTATTGTGACCAATTTTTAAAGGCATTGCACTTTTTGTACGTAAGAAAATGTACAGTGAATAAAGACAAATTTCATATCTATGAGCCTTATCGATTAATATATTATCTTCTATTTTCTTATCTCAATCGAATTAATCGTAAAAGAAAATTATGAATCTTAGAATTTTTAAAAATAACGTTAAATAAAATATATACTATTTTCGTGGAACGATTATTGCAAAGAAACTATCCTCCTTTTCCTTTTTTTAAAATCTCCTTATGAATATATTATATATAGAATAGGATAGAAAAGATGATATTCAAAAGCATAACATTATAATAAGAATAGTAGATGAGGAGATAGAATAAAAATATTGAAATCAACGCAATCTTCAGAGTGTCGCAAATGAAACTCACAAAGAAACGATAAAAAATGGCAAAAGAATAGAAATAGAATAAAAATTGACTATAGTGTGCCATCTCTTGTCCAGAATATTCAAAAAATCTTTTTAAAAAGCGCTTAAGAGATGGCACGAGTTTTCAATTCTTACCTTACTTTATTCTATTTTTAAGGAAGTGTTTTCGGTCTTCAAGAGATGGCGCTAATAGTTCTTATCCTATTTTGCTTTTGAATAAAATATCTTTTTTATTGTAAAGAGATGACATTGGTTCTTAATTCTTTCTTAATTTTAATTTCTATACTATTTCTATACTTTTTTTTATTGCTTTTTTTGTCTATGTTGAGTTTCATTTGCGGCATTATAGAGATGGCGCTAATTTCACAATTTTTATCTTATCTCTTTCTTTGTTCTACAATATTTTTCTTGTTTATAAAATCCTTTATAAAATCTTTCACAAAAATATTTTTCTCTATTGAAGAATGTCATACATTTTCCTAAAAATAGAATAAAATTTTGCTATACATATATGTACACTTTCTTTTTTCATATTTATATAAATATTTTTAAATACTTACAAATTCCCGCCGGATAATAATCCAGCGTAGGTGGCATTAGTACGTTCAAATGGATAGATTGGCGCGAGAAACATGTGTGGTCGAGCAGCTTGGTAAGTAATTTTATCGTATAATTTCACTAATTCATACAACACAAAAATATTACGATCTTCTAATAATGTAGAAAATTTACCAATACTTTCGCAGTTCTTTAAATCCAGATACTTTATGTCGTGCTTGTGATTATAAAGATGCAACTGGCAAACGACGCACAACATCATGGACCAAAACTGACATCGAATATGTTCCATCTACTAATATCGGACCTAAAGATGCTCTTCCTTGCATTATTTCCGGCTTGCACTTTGGTAAAGAGAACGAACAAGTTCTTTGTGCTATGATGTGGAGTATGATTCCCCCTTGGCACGAGGTCAGTATTTACAAACAAGATTAGATTATATGATTATATGATATTCACGAGTGGGGATACGCTCACGTGATTATCAGTTTAATTTCGACAAATTGACACAAAGAGTATTTATTCAAATGTAAACATATTTATTATATTTTTTTATTTGATAATAATAATTGATAACTTAGCGAAAAAAAATTTTCTTAATTTTTAGGCGATTACAGAAAACATAATTTGTCAACGCATAACGCGCGTCTAGAAAATATTAAAAATTCCAAATTATACGGAACACCACTTCGCAAAGGTCAAAGATGCATTGTGCTTTGTGAAGGTTATTACGAGTGGAAAGCTGGAAAAACAAAAAAAGATTCTAAGCAACCGTATTATATTTATGCTACTCAGGAGAAAGGAGTAAGAGCAGATGATTCTTCGACATGGAAAGATGAATGGTCTGAAGAAACTGGTTGGAAAGGATTTAAACTTTTAAAGATGGCAGGAATTTTTAATACGTTCAAAACTGAAGAAGTAAATTCAACATATTAGGTTTACGTGTAGAATATAAATATACAACTATAGAAATAAATTATATTTTAGGGGAAAATAATATATAGTTGTACAATAATTACAACTGAATCAAATAGTATTCTGTCTTGGTTACATAATCGTGTACCTATTTTTTTAAACAAAGAACAAGATTCACAGGTAAGAAAATGAAGATGTTATGAAAAAAATTTTTTTTATTTTATTTATATATTTCAATGTTTTTCAAGATAAATTAATATTAATCAAAAAAAGATATTAATTAAAAAATCAATTTATTTATTTATTTATTTTTTTGGTTACAGATTTGGTTGAATGAAAAACTGACAATAGATGAAGTTGTTGATAAATTAAATAAATTAACATTATCAGATGGTGATTTAAATTGGCATACAGTCTCAACTCTTGTAAACAATGTATTATATAAAAATGAAGATTGCAGAAAAGAAAAAAAATCCATGTATGTATATAAATGTATATAAAACAGTACAATTAATTTTTCTCTGTTCGAATTATGATCTTTTAATCCTGTGAAGTGACATGCTAGACTATTGATTTACTAATTCTATTATGTACAGTGAAGAAAAAAAAAAGCAACTCTAGTAGTTTTATGGCTTCTTGGTTGAAGAAAGGGTCTGCAGAGTCAGCTAAGAGAAAAAGTACAGAAACTGAAAAAAATGATAACATAATGTCAAAAATTGCAAAGGAAAAATAATTTTATCCATAATTGCAAAATAAGATCACTCATAAAAGTATAAATTTTACTTTTTTTTAGTTGTAAATATCAATGTTAGAATATTTATTTAAATTATATAATCCTTTTTATTTTTATACTTTATAATAATTTAATAATAATTTTTCTTTGTAATAATATTTGTATTTTTTGTCATACATATTGAATAGAAAAAAAATCATAAAATAAGATTTTCTCTTTTTAATTTATAATTGTGAAATATAATTGTGAATTAATAATTGTGTTATCATTTATAATCAATATTTAATAAATTTAAAGCACAATTCTGTAAACATCGATACTAAAAATAAAATAACATACGTATTTTAAACATAGCCTTTTGTTTTTTTATATTTTGAATACAAATATTAGTAAAAAACAAAGCTTACTTGCAAAATTTCAAAAATATTTAATCTTATTGAATTTAATACAAATTAATAAATTTGTAATAAAATAATGAATTGTAAGAGTATACAGTTCATTATATAAGAATTAAATCTATTTTATACGTAAATATTTTCATAAAATATTTTTGCAAATATTTTGTAAAAATTTATTTCAGAAAACAAAATTCTATTTGGCGCTCATTAGAACGCATGCGTAGATTACTACAATATGGCGACGATCATTGCCCCGATTTCATTTAGTAGTAACAAAGAAAAAGATAGAAAAAGAGAGAGATAGAAAATCCGATTTTCCAGAGATGTCAGCACGATAGCTCTTATTTCGCGCTGGTAGCAGTGGAGGTGAAGGCGATCGGTGGTGGTTGAGTTCGCGAGTGGTGCAGTGTGTACGATAGAGAGCGAAGGTGTACCTACATCTGAAGAGTTGTGCTGACACGTTTTCGTCTCCCGTGCGGCGGGGGCTGCCCTTCGCAAGAATCCGCGTCACGCATGGCACCGCTTCGTGCCTGAGACGCCTTTTTCTCGGAGACAGAGAGAGCAAGATCGTGCGCGGCCGGGGCCCAGCCTCTTCGCGTGCTTCGTCTCGTTTTGCCGTTTTCGAGCGCCGGAGAGACCGAGTCGCGAACGAGCCGACAGAATGACCAGCCAAGAGACGTGCGAGCAAGGGATTAGTAATGTAGAAACTGAATATCTTGAGATCAATTCGAAAGGAGCCTGGGCGATTCTCTATCAGGTAAAGATCGCCACTTCCTCTCTTTCTTCTTCCGTTTTTACGTCTTTTCTTCCGGTTTCCGCGAGAAACGCCAGTTCTATCCATGAATGTCAATCTTTTCAATAGCCAGCAATCTAAATTGCATCGTAAAATTGTTTTCCACTGACACGGCCATTAACTACCGATGATGCACAAGTTATGAAATCTTGTTCAATCTTGTTTAACGATGTTTATTTGCCAATTGAAAATTATAGGCATCAACACGTTATCATCTGTCGCGAAATCTCACCGTACGCTTGTAAATTTTTAACGGTCTTTCGTCCTAGTGAATGAGAAACCTGTGTAGCACTATAAATATCACATGTGTGTTATCAAGTTTTGATTTATTTATCTTATGGACCCATTCTTGATCGCATACAACTTCCTTCGTGATTTTCGTCATTCCGGAAATGTGCTCGATTAATTTAAGTTTTACGAATAAATTAGATTTATCGTACATCAATATGATTCAATACAATAACAAATCGAGAAATTTATTCTTTATTGCGTGCCCCCTAACATTCGTTTTTCTGCCGATATTTACAATGCATGAATTGTTCTCAATTCCCTGACCTATCTGTTTACTTTCTTGGAAAGTAATTTTCACAGAAAGATTATTAAATATTGCACGAATTGTGCACAATTTTATTATCAAGCTCAAATATCTTAATAATATCTTGATTCAAAATATATATGCTATATATATTGATACTGTGATTTATATAAGTTGAAATAAGATTTTTTTTAACAAATATTAAATATTATTTTTTCCCCTAGACAAGTGAAAATTATTGTATGTTTTTCCTTTTGTATGATATCCTATAATTATAAAAGAGAATATTACTTTTACAGCATATACGTAATGAATGCAGCAATTTTACATACACATGCAATGAATCAAAGAAGCCACAAAACAAAAATTTGAATCGTTACAGAGATGTTTTACCATATGATCATAGTAGAATTGTTCTTAAAAAAGGCCCATCTGATTACATCAATGCTAATCTCATACAGGTAGATACTGTATCAAGATGTTTAATTTTAATAAAAAAAAAAAAAATGTAATAACAAAATTATTTTCATTACAGGTAGATCATGCCCGTAGACAATATATTCTTACACAAGGACCATTGGAAAATACTGCTGGCCATTTCTGGTTAATGATATGGGAGCAAAATTCTAAAGCTGTGTTAATGTTAAATAAAATAATCGAAAAGAATCATGTTAAATGTTATCAGTATTGGCCTCTTGGCGAATCCGTGATTAATACAATGATATTTCCGGATGTTGGTATGAAAATAAAATATATCAGTAAAACAGAATCATCGGATTATACGACTAGAATATTAAAGTATGAAAATAATTAAGAATTAAATTATAAATATTTTTATATATTTAATGTATTTGGAAAAATATATATAATTCATTATTTTATAGGTTAACTGATTTGGAAACAAAAGAAAGTAGAGAAATATTACATTTTCATTATACCACTTGGCCAGATTTTGGTGTTCCACAAAGTCCTACAGCTTTTTTAAATTTTTTAACAGATGTTAGGCAATCAGGAACATTAGATCAAAATGTTGGTCCCCCTGTGGTACATTGTTCTGCAGGAATTGGAAGATCAGGAACATTTTGTTTAGTCGATACCTGTCTTGTTTTGGTAAATATTATTTATATTAAAGAAAAATTTAAAATTTAAAAATTACAGAGAAGAGATTGCTTTTTTATTATAGATTGAAGAAAATGGATTGAATTCAGTGAATATTAGAGATATATTAATAGAAATGAGAAGATATAGAATGGGTTTAATTCAAACACCAGATCAATTAAGATTTTCATATGCTGCTATCATTGAAGGAGCAAAACAATTGCCATCCAATAACGTGGTAACTAATACCAATTCACAGTGGTACAATGTTATTAGTTTTTCCTTTCTGAATTAACCTGTTATGTTTATTATATGTTCCATGTAAATATTTGTTTTTGTATAGCACATAATTGTCTCTATAATATAAATTAATTCTAATAATATTGTGCTACTGTGGTTCGCTACAATTCCTAACTGTTACTAACTATTGTGATATTTACAGAATATTAATAATGAAATAGTGTCAAATCATTATGATGTGGTAAGTAATATTAGTAATTCTTCGAATGAAGAAGAAGATGAACCACCTCCTTTGCCACCTCCAAGAGGTGAATCCTTAACACGTAGCATGATGGCAGATTTAACTTCGAGCACAATATCAAGAAATGGTATGTGAATGATCAATTGAATGATTAAAATAATTTTTAAATATAATTTTAAAAATATAATTTTTTATTTTAATGTATCAGACGAATTAACTGGACCACCCGATAAACCATTGCCTAGAGAGCCATCAATTCAAACAGAAACATCCATTGCCAGTAATACAACTGGTACAAACTCTACAGTAATCATAAACAATGTACATGAACAGAATTCTGATGGTGTTGTAGTGCCTAATGATAATGTCAGTGACGGTGAAAATTCTATACAAACAATTAGTCCTCCGTCCAGTCCAGATATGTAAGTTATTCAAAAAAGAAATGTATTTATATATTTGAATATTTTTTTTTTCCTTTTTTAATATTTACTTCATATGAATAGGAAAAACGAAATACGTCATCGTAATAAAGAGAAGAAAGAACGCTTGGCAGCACAAGTACGAGAGATGAAACGTCGTCAAAAAGAGACTGAAGAATGGCAGAAGCTCAAGAGGTCATTATTTAAACCTCTTACAATAGGCATAGGCGCTGCAATTGTTGGTGGGGGTATTATAGCAATATGTGGCTATTTGTACATGCGTGGTTAGGATACAATTGTTTTTCTGTCACACATGTATATGGACGATCGAGATGATATCAGTGATATTAGGTGATTCGCACATTCAAGAATAGTTACTTTCACCATGAAATATTTAAAAGCTCTGTTGCACGTGTCATTAATTGCCGTTTTGAAAAAAAAATTTAATCAGGGAGAAGCATTTAGTGTTATATAATTTGAAGTAAGAACGCAATCGCAATCGTTGTGAGACGTTGTATCGGTAAAGAATTATCAGTTAACTCAACAAAATGAGAAGCACATACCAATTAACAAGGAAACGTTAAAGAGAAGTAACTTATTCTAATGAAGTGCATTTTATAAAAGACATTGTTGCACGATAAAGAAGTGAAAGGAAAGAAGAGAAAAAGATCAGAAAAATTAATGATAAATGAGAGCGAAAGAAAAGGAAAAAAACCTTCGATTTGTATTTTTATATTGTGATTCACTCAATGAGTATGTACAACATACTAGAAGGTATACATTTTTTGAAAAATCATTTCGTTAGGTTTTGAAAGCTGCATTTCACACTTAATAGATCTTCTTGTATTCGTGTTTCCGGTATTAGAAATGGAATAAGAAATATATTGAGTTAGATTTTTACTTCGTGACAATTTTCTGCCTCAAATAGGAATAAAGAGTATCTTTTTAATTGTTTGATAACTCTAATCATTAAATGTGTATCCTATGTCCTATGAATTAGGAAGGAAGAAAAACACATGTAAAGATCTAAAACAAGTAAATGTATTCTTATTCGCATATTGTAATAATTGTAGATTCACGTAAAATAGATAGATTATACACGAAATGGGTGCATGATGTTCCAATAAGTAAAATCAATTATTTACTTTAAAGATAACAATTAATATAGAGGCAATCAAAAGTATTAATTTCCTCTTTTTTTTTTATTTCTTACAATTTTTAAATACATTTAGATTTTTTTTATTTAATTAATTTTATTACGGTCAATTTTAACAGTTAGAATTTAAAGAAGCGAATTTTCAACTATTAACCTTCTAATAAATTAGACTCGTTAATAGCAATTTATCCAGAGTATCAAAATTATTTGTTGAAAATTTATAAGTACCCAATCATCTTGCTAGAATCTAATTACATCGTAATATATCGTAGAGAAATATTAACGAACTTTAGAATTATAATATACTATGTAAATGTTTTTTTATGAATAACTTACCCATTAAAGTAAAGTCCATTCATCTATAAAATATTCATGACAAAAAGTGAAGTCACGTTAAAAATTAGCATAAACGATACCTGTGAAATATCATGATCCATTCTTACATGGCAGTTCAATGTTTATTTAGAGTCATCATCGATTTCGTTCGAAATTTGTTCCTGGGATTATAAGTAAAAGGAAAAAGACAAACATTCTTAACTTTCTCTTTTTCTTGAAGAAACGCGTCATTGAGATATTTCGTTTAACATGGCAACTCGTGCCTTCGATATTGTGTGTACTTCGTAAAAATAATTCACGCAATTGCGTAAAATGTTCGTAATCGTTTGTAATATGAATCATTTTGTACTTGAAGTAGTCGAGGAAATTTTTTACATAAAAACGCACGTCTGGTATACGTCTGGTAAAATCGACAATTAATAAATTTCGCGTGATACCGAAATAATTAGCAGCGACGTAAGAGATATTTCGACTAACGAAACTTGCTACGGTGCTTATCATGTGCTATTTTGAATATTGTGTTTTTCATTTTTCATGTGATGAAACTATCGACATAATAGTGGGTGCCAAATAATGAAAAGCCAACAAAAATTTTGTACATAGAAATATCTGATATTCTTATGAATCAGTTTTCGATATCGATACACTTATATTAATATATTAATACATCGGTGTAAGCTATATCGAAATAATATCCGATACTTGATTCATTTTCAATTTTAAAGATTAATCATTTATTTTTATGTATATATTCGAAGTAAAAAAAAAAAATTACTGTAAACGATTCTATCGGTTTAATCAAAAAATATTGATTGTCAAAAATTGATAACTTTTTATTATATTATCAAGACTAATATCAAAAACTGATTCGATCAGAATATATTTGAAATAACGAGCCGTATCATGGTTGCGTTAGTGAATTTTATTTATATACTTTTAACCCCTTATTGAAACGTTTCTCTCGCATTTTATTCATATCGAGTACTTGAATCTTAAAATATTTAAACTTTAATAATTTTAACGTAAAAAAAAAAAAAAAAAAAAGAAAAAGAGAAAAAGAAAAAAAAAGAAGAAGAAGAAACAGGGGGTTAAAAGAAACGCATCTTTCTAAAACACGAATTCTAACTGATTTGCTCAATGATGAACCGTTTAAAATACATTGAGCGTCGCGGAAAGACTGAGTACGTCTAATTGCTTCTAAGTGGGGAGGAAGTTTTTAAAAAATGAAAAAAAAAAAAAAAAGAAATGAAAACAAAGAAATGAGTACGAAAAAAGTGTTTAGAAAAAAGAAAAACCGTACTCTTAAACTGAGCTTCTATATAAGTAGTCACGATCATTCTTCGATTGCAGAAGAGTTGCAGGATCGTGTTCTAAGAATTTAAGAAAAAAAGAAAAAAAAGAAAAAAAAAAAAAAAAAAAAAGGGAAAAGAAGCTGAAACAAACGGCAAAGGTGTATAAATTGCTCGCGATTCATCCTCTTTCCCAGAAAGAAAAATACGCGTGAACAAACGTATTTTGTACTTTTGTATTACGTCGGTAACCGTAAGATGTTTGGAATACGATCCCTGTGCGAAAAAATTATTTTCAAACACACGCGTTCACATTCACCGTTTATGCGTTCAAGTGTTCGTTAACGATACATCGAACATATAGTCGTACATATTATCTGTAGAGATGTCATCATGTTCCGTTTGAAGCAATGTTAAAAAAAAAAAAAAAAAAAAAAAAAAAAAAAAAAACAAAATGTTCAAAGTTGAATACAGTATTCTGTCGTCGGTATAGTTCATCTATGTGTATGCACCATTGTATATCTTGTTACCTGATTTTCGTCTAGAGTATATTCGTACGTTTATATTACCGTTAGGGAGATGTGTAAACCCAGACGCGTTTTCTTTCTTCTCTTTAATGATATTTAAAACACGCTCGAGTAATAATGTAGCCTTGATAGGGTACGAGAATGGTGCGAAAACAGCTTTCTCTAAGCAAGGAGAACGGCACGTGTGTCAGCCTTTGTTTAAAACGATTACGATCGGGCGTAAGATATGATTAATAGCGTTCCTAGAGGAATGACAAATTTCAATATTTTTTTTGTTACATTTTTTCTTTTTTTTTTTTTCTTTTTCTTTTTTTTTTTTAGAAACACGGTAAACGCGATCATTGAAGTCATAATGCTCGAAAATTCTTCTGTAATTGAAACTGTTTAAAGCTTCTAAGTGTTGATCAAATATATACTTTTCGGATCACTGTCATAAAAGAAAAGTCTGAAAATAATAACAAAAAATTTTACTGTGTTAGTTTTTAAATAGTAATATTGCCTCCTGTAATTTTTGTCCAATAAATATTGAAATATTCGAGACACGCGATATTAAAAATGTCAATTTAACTCGAATTTCAATATAATTTAAACAAATAAAGTGAATTTTATAAAACGAGAGAAAACACGAGGAAGCTTGTAACAGTTAAAACCGGCGAGTTAATCGAAAAAATGAAATTCAATGTCTTTCGTCGTTAATCTCTCGCCTTGAAATGATTAGTCCCAAATTTGTGATACTGTAAAATTGTTAATAATTCTGAATATTTGTATCCTTTCGCCATTTTTTTTTTACTTTTTCTCGTATTAATTCATTGGCGCCTCTTGATGAAATTAATAAGGCAAGAAGATTAACCGTGTTTCGCGCGTTCGTTCATTCAGAAATTTCATCGAATTATCATCGTTGCACGAAGAAAAGAAAGCTAGGCTAACGTTCGTCTGATTCCCTTGTTTTCGTTAATCGTGGAAAGCTTATCGAAAAAAAATTCTCAACGAGCGTGTGAGAGTGTGAGAGCGTATGCGTGAGAGGAGCGAGGAACGAGAAAGAAACGTATTCTCGAGAACTAAAATCCACGAAAGACACGGTGCTAATTAAAGTTCCAAAAAAAAAAAAAGAAGAAAAAGAAATAGAAGAAGAAAGGAGGGGGAAAAAAAGGAGGAAATATTAACACGAATACTTCATATTGCGTGAGAGAGCGAGCATGAACGTTGAAATATGAATATTGGGTACGAAGGGATATGAGAGCAGCGAAAAAGATGAAGGCGCCTCTAGAAGAAAAGATAATATAACGAGAGAGAAACGAAACGAGTCACAAAAATGTAGGAAGTCTTCAAGAAAGATATTTCATCGATCGATGAGAAAGAATATGTTATATCATATATAGAATCAGATAATCAAATTCGAAGAAGAAGAAGAATTAAAAAAAGAAAAAGACGAGGAAAAGAAACGAAGAGGGGAGTCTTCGTATGCAAAAAATTTCAGTTCTTCTCCATCCAGTAATAGAAATCTCTCCATCGTATACAATAGACATAAAAATGTTACGATACAAAATGGAATCGCAGAAACATAGCTAAGTGCCTATTCGAGTACGAAAGGGAAGGAAAAAGGAGCCAATAGCGAGAATACGATCAGTAGTAGCATTTGATATTTACGATACTGTATGCATACCCCTCGCCTTTCTGGAACAGCGCAGATATCGAGCAATTGAATCCTTTACTATCCGACAATATGCATTATACTTAACATTATTATATATAGATATATATATATATATATATATAACATGTATGTACATTTAGAAATAGATAGCCATTCTAGTAAATCTATTGTCACGCGACTGTTGAACAATCGAGCCACGAGATTTTAAAATTAATCTCGGTAGAAGAGATTATAAATATTAAATTATTTATCTCCCTAGCAGTATTTAAAGAGGAAGAAGAATTTCTCCTTTTAATCCTTAGTATACTGGATCCACTCAGGGACTCGTGAAAAACAAATATACACGGCTCTATACATTCGTAATAATAACATTGGTATCGATACATTTGTATTTCTCAATATAAATATCAATACGAAACAATTTCGTGTAAATACGTATATTCATCCGAACTGGTAATACAGAAAGAAGTAATACTTATCGACAGTATAGAGACAGTCCAGAAAACAATTATTAAAAAGAATGAATGTGAGTCGGAATAATAATAATAATGGAATTTATATTTTAAATAAAATAACGTTTATAGAACGTTTATAGAACTTAAAAGTATTTTTGTCAAGTTTTGCAGAGAACGTTTGTTGTATCAAAGTGTATGATATAAACTAATATAATAACTAAAACGAAACACCAAGAGTCTCTTAATGAAAAAAATTATAATCAAGTGTACCCTGGTATACTAAGGATTAAGGAATTAAGTAGAAAGTTATATAGAATAGAAGAAGAATTTTTTTTATATTATATATATATATATTTAATGTTTATAACATATAAAATCACCCAGTATACAATTGAACAACAAAGAGAGAAAAACTGTCCTTGTAGCTCGATCAAATTTGTTTAACAGTCAAATTATTTAAAACTAAGAATCAAGTTGTGAGAAATGAAGCAAGCAAACGAACGAACGAACGAACGAACTAAAAAAAAGAAAAAAAAAAAAAACGAAGAATCAGGAAAATAAGAACGAATATTAAGAATTAAATAACGATATTAATTTATCCTCAAAAAAAAAAGAAAAAAAAAAAAACGAAAAACGGGCAATGGTAAAAAGTTACTTCTCCCTGAAGTCAAAGTGCAAGTCTTTGCGACTCGACTTCAATACAGTTAACTATATTTACAATGTACCATGGTAGAAGATGTATCGAGACGCGGTATTTCTAAGTGTAAAGTTAAGATAAAAACACACGAGTGGAAACGTAACACTTGGTTAGAATTAGAGAGGAAGGATAATAGAAGAGAAGGGTCGAGAAAAAGAAGTGAAATGAAAGAACGTATCGTTGCTGATTATACAAAAAAAGATTTGCAAACAATTTATCGTAATTGGCCATTGGAAAGAGAATGAAAAGTGCAAAATATTTGAACGTCACTTCGCTTCTTTACACGATCCGATTAGAGAACGTTAAAAAAAAAAAACAAGCATGAGAGAAAACGGCTTGCATGCAATAAAATGTTATTCATTCGCGACGAGAAGGAAAAAGACAAGAGCAGGAAAATATCGATATGCGCAGTACCCTCACGACGCATATTACTTCTTTTTTTTTTTTATTTCCAAATGTAGAAAAGCTAAATAAGAACAACTCGTAGACGAGGTTCCCCGATTTACATATTTAGATCGATCAATACAGGAAAGGATTTTTTCGTACTTTCCAACTTTTTTTTCATTCCACTATCCCCATATTTTAACTAACGCAACCAGATGACAGGTTTCAGAATTTAAAGTTCGCGTGAGAAAGATTGAACTGTAAAAAAAAAAAAAAAAAAAAGAAATTGCTACAAGTAATATTGAAATCTTCCAACGTATTTTTTCACGTGGAGAAAAATTTTTTTTAATGGCGAATTTAACGCTGAAACCTGGCTCATCGGTTACCCAGCCCAACGATTTCATTTATAATATAATTCCATCCGGGAAGATTGGTATGAGTGAATTCAAATCTATCGATGCCCATATACTAACAAGCCTAACTTGACTCTCGCGATTCTAACAGACCTTGTTTATTACTAACCTGTTTGGCCTTGTGCTTGTTTAATTTCTCGTACTTGTCTTCCCAGCAGCCACGAAATACCCTCATCTGGTGATTTCTTTCAGATCTAAAAGCGAAACTACTACCGAAACCAGCGAAACCGTTCACGAGGAGGCCGAACCTGAGAAATAAAATAAAATCTGCCTAAAAAAAAAAAAAAAAAAAATAAAAAAAAATAAAAAAAATAAAAAAGAATAAATAAATAAGTAAAAGTAAAATGAAACCTAAGAAAAAAAATCGCGTGACAAGATCGCATCCGATTAATACTTTAAAAATAAAGATGAATGTGCAAAAAAGAAAGGGGGAAAAAAAAAAGATAGAGAATTCGTTTTCGAATTGGTTTTTTTTTCTTTTTTTTTTTTTTTTTTTTTT